CAATCATCAGGATTGCAGTTGCTCTGGAAATCTTTAGACAGATCCTTTTCCCATGGAGTTTACGATTTTCAATGTAACATTCACTGAGAATTGCGAAAAGTTTGCCATTGCTGTTCTACCATTTTACTTTTTATTCCAATTTTCCAATCTGCCTTACCCAACTCATCTCTCACTTAGCTTCAGCTGCTAGTTTCTGACTTAAATAGATCATTCTTAAACACAATGTGATTTTGTTTCATACTATGATCACTCTTCTGCAGGGCATCCCTTACTATCAGGTGATTAATTTACTCTTTCTTATCACACAAGAAAACCTCCAAAATAGCACAGCACCTTGGCTTTATATGTATTGTTCCAGGAATACATCATGAATGCAATACATCAACTTGTCCCCCAAACTAAAATTGTCAGTTTGATTTGTGAACACGAGAGCGTGGAGCAAACTGTCATGTTCCACTTGGCAACCAATAACAGCAGGCAGAACTAGAAATAAGGTTTTGCTGCTGGAATTTGAGGCGCTAAGCCTCAACTTAAGGAACAGGATCTTCAGAATCTCTGAGACAAGTGCAAATTGACATGAGGCAAATAGATTAAATTAAATATTACCTTTGCTACAAGCTCCCCTTATTTTGTGATTAATACCCTGTGTAACATTATAGCTACTGTTAGGAGCCATATTTGTTGTGGTTTGGGTTAATTCAAGCCCCAAGTGGTATAGCAAGGATGAGGATAATCTTCTTCCTGGTCTAACTAGGAGAGTCTTTTTGAGACAACAATGTGAAGGCTATTTCATAGCTCCAGCTACTTTTATGACTGCATCACTTCTCTGGCTATTAGGAGAACATTAGCCTTACATATGTCTCATACAAGCTCATTTTTACTTTACCCAAGTACCCATGACATCATCATAGTGAGTGCTGCTGACTTCTTTTATTTATTCATTTTGTGGGATGTGGGCAACGCTGGCTAGGCCAGCATTTCTTGCCCATCCCTAGTTGCCCTTGAGAAGGTGGTGGTGAGCTGCCTTCTTGAATAGCTGCAGTCTTCCTGCTGTAGGTTGACCTACAATGCCATTAGGGAGGGAATCCCAGGATTTTGGCCCAGTGACAGTGAAGGAATGACAATATACTTCCAAGTCAGGATAGTGAGTAGCTTGGAGGGGAACTTGAAGGTGGTGGTGTTCCCATATATCTGCTGCCCTTGTCCTTTTAGATGGAAATGGTTGTGGGTTTGGAAGGTGCTGTCTGAGGATCTTTGGTGAATTTCTGCAGTGCATCTTGTAGATAGTACACACTGCTGCTACTGAGCGTCGGTGGTGGAGGGAATGGATGCTTGTGGATGTAGTGTCAATCGAGCAGGCTGCTTTGTCCTGGATGGTCTCAAGCTTCTTAAGCGTTGTTGGGTCTGCACCCATGCAGGCAAGTGGGGAGTATTCCATCACACTCCTGACTTGTGACTTGTAGATGGTGGACCGGCTTTGGGGAGACAGGAGCTGAGTTACTCACCAAGGTATTCCTAGCCTCTGACCTGCTGTTGTAGCCATTGCATTTTTGTGGTGAGTCCAGTTAAGTTTCTGATCAATGATAACTCTCAGGATGTTGACAGTGGGGAATTCAATGATGGTAACACCATTGAATGTCGAGGGCTGGTAGTTAGATTGTCTCTTTTTGGTGATGACTGTACTCAATCACATATTAACCCTTTCGTAATCATGTACAACACCATTGATTAAACCCCTCAACGTTCAATGTTTCTTGTTATTTATTTCAACCTCAAGCTGATTTTATTCCTGAGCTTCCAACCTAAGTTCTTTCTTGCTACATATTTAATTCTTAGTCATCAGGGCCATACCTGTCCTCTAATGTTTTTTTTTCTCAATTTTCAAAACATCACATGCTTTGTAACATTTAAATTCCCAACCTTTCACCATCATCATTGTAATAACATCAAACCCATTTGTCTCTTGTGTGCTGTTAATTTGTTTATTTTGTTATGAACGCAATGTGCATTTGGATTGAAAGGGAAGCATTGGACAGTAAAGGTTTTCTGATAATCACAAGTATGCACCAACTGCTAGAAAATGTACCTATGGCTAGAAAATGTGAGCATGTAATGATATGATTGGATAATATGTGTATTACGCTGGATATGCTTAAATAATATAGTCACGCGTACTAACCTGGAATATAGACCACATAGACACTATTAGATAGAAAAAGGGTGATTAAATGTGTATCCTTTTGATTGGAAATTATTATCTGTAGAAAAGTTTATTGGAAACTTGTTATTTGTAAAATATAGTAAAAACTTTTGTTTTTGTAGTGCAGATTTGAGCTGAATGACATTTTTGATACATACATCTGCCATGCATGCCTGAATAAACATTTAAACAAAGAAACCTGAGTTTCGTCTGGTCTAAGAGTGAAGATAGGGCTAAAATCACCCTTTCAAGACAAAGTGGCTATAATTTTAACTCTTAAACATGTCTCCCTGATTTGGCCTAATGCACCATCACCATTATACTCTCTGTCTCTTTTTGTCACACTATCCTTATATTTGTCCAAATTGTTGCACTGCATTATAGCCTTGGCTTTTCTCTTTATATTTATAAACCTTCCCTTACCCAAACTCTCCTCGCTCCACTTTTCTGTTTGTGCACTATCCATGGCCTCTGTTATATGATTCGTCAGGAGACGAGTCCTAGCCTGGATGAGGTGCAGTATTTCCAAACAAATGGAGTATTTCTGCCTCTTACTAGTATCAGTGCCCTTGAATCAAAACTGGTATCTGCCACAACTATCTCTCTGTCACATCTTCATCTCTAATCTGTTTGCTCCATTCTAATTTCCACATGGTTCAACCAGAGATTCCTGAGTTCCTGCTCATTAATTTGAACCCGAGTTCCTCAGATTCCTTTAACAAAACCTTATTTCTTGTTCTACCTATGTCATTTGTTAAGTAGATCATGACAACTAGATCCTTTCTTTCATATTCCAAAATGCTTTTCCAGTCGCAAGCATATCCCTTATTCTCAGGCACTGAAATCTGCAGGAACAGTACCTTCAGAACTCCCAGTGATGGCAGCAGAGAACAGTATCAGTCCTGCCAACTATACTGTCTCCTATCACAACCACATACTTTTTTAATCTGACTTGTACCTATTCCTGAGTCCTGCAGTCAGATTGTCCAAGTTCCTTTTAAGGTTTTCATCCCATCCATAAAGGTAGCAAGCGCCTTGTGGGCAATTTTGCTATTGTGAGCAATTTTGGGCCCCATACCTCAGGAAGGATGAACTGGCCCTGGAGCGGGTCCAGAGGAGGTTCACGAGAATGTTCCCAGGAATGAAAGGCTTAACATATGAGGAACATTTAAGGACTCTGGGTCTATGCTCGATGGAGTTTAGAAGGATGAGACGAGATCTAATTGAAACTTACAGAATACTGAACAGCCTGGACAGAGTGGACGTTAGGTGGTAGGAGAGACCAGGTCTCAAGGGCACAACCTTAGAATAAAGGGAAGACACTTTAGAACAGAGACAAGGAAAAACTTCTTCAGCCAGAGAGTGGTGAATCTATGGAATTCATTGCGACAGAAGGCTGTGGAGACCAGGTCATTGAGTATATTTAAGACAGAGATAGATAGGTTCTTGATTGTCAAGGGAATCAAGGGCTTTGGAGGGAAAGCGGGAGAATGGGATTGAGAAACTTATCAGCCATGATTGAATGGTGGAGCAGATTCAATGGGCTAAATGTTCTGGTGTCTGCTCCTATGTCTTAAAGTCTTATGGTTTTGTGCCAGTTGGACGAGATCAAAGGCCTAGACTCCTGCATCACGACATCCTGGGTCTTCCTAGTTGTCTGACTCACGTCCTCCTATCGCTGACCACTGACCAAAGCTAATCTATTACCCAACCTCAGGGGTGTGACATGACCCCAAAATATACGGACAACTCTCTCCTACTCTGGGACATCACAATGACCGTTGTTCAGATACAAACTGAACAAAGTTCCTTGTGTTGTACACATAGGGGTCGCTCACTGATCTCCACCAACTCAAATAAGCTGCAGTTATGATACATCTGCCATTCCCATCTTACCAAGTTTATTTATTCAACTAAGGTTTTATTAACCTGATATTTTTAATTTTATGAATTGATTTGTTCATTTCGTTTAAATTATTGCTTTTAATAAGCTAGTAGTGACAGTCTCTCTGCTTTAACCTTATAGAACAAAGAGCAACAGCCTTTAGGAGTCAATCGCCTCCCCCCACCCCTCTGCTGTGTCTTGAAACATTTCTCCTCTTTTTCTGAAAATAAAGGACTCTTAGGAAAGACGATTGCATGGTTGGCTGAAAGCAGAAACAAGAACAGAAATTGCTGGGAAAACAGTAGGTTTTCCCAGCAATTTCTGTTTTTGCTTTTAATTTCCAACATCTGCAGTTCTTTGGGGTTTTTTTTGCCTGAAATTAGAACTCACAGTAAAAGTAAACAATTCTGTATATTAACTGACATTGGCTAGGGAAACAATGGTTGCTAATAGATTGGAGAAAGCGGAAAACCGTAACCAAACTTCCCATTCATGAGCATTCTGCAGTGTTTCCTGTATAAACAGTACACTTCAGAAAACAGGATCAGGCTCAGTAATAAAACTTGTCCCGTTCAAATCACTTACCGTTACTCAGAGCCTGGGTTTGCATGAGGAAGGAGCGGGAATGATGAGCTGTGTAAGGTGCTGAAGGGTGCTCTGTTCATTGGTAGTTACCTTTGTTTGAGTTAATTAAAGCCTATCCTGTTCCACACAAAACAATCACAGCAGCATATCACGACTGATTAATCACAACACTTGCGTGTTTTATTGACCAAGGATTGATCAATGGTGCAACAAAATGAAGCATTTAGTATATTATTTAATGGAGTCTTCTCTTTTTCTTCACTCACAGGATGTGGATGTCTCTGGCTAGACCAGCATTTATTGCCCAGCCCTAATTGCCCAGAAGCAGTTAAGGGTCAACCATACTTCTGTGATTCTGGAGTCACATGAAGGTCAGACCAGGTAATGATGGCAACTTTCTTCCCGGATGGACATTAGTGTATTAGATAGATGTTTTCTGACAATCAGTCATCATTAGGCTCATAATTGCAGATTTCTATTGAATTCAAATTCCACTACCTGTATGGTGGGATTAGAACCCAAGTCCCCATAAGATTACCTGGATTTCTAGATTAACAATCTAGTGATAATATCACCAGGCTGTTGCCTCCCTTTTCGGCTGGCCAGAATTTGAATTGGTTAGTGCTGTACCTTACACATATTTATGCATTACTGCGCTGTCAAAGTCATTCCAAGTGTTTGGAACTGATCGCACCAATTTGGAGTTACTCACAGTTTGTATCTGCTTACCAGCTGTATTTATGTGGGAAAATGTCCACTTGAACTTGATGATTGAAAGATCACCTACTGTAGTTATGGAAAATACAATTTTAATGTTCTGGCTGGCCTTCAGAGTGATTTGGCTGCTAAATCTTAGAATATACTAAACCAATGTTATCAGGATGTGAGTCCACAGATGTGAGGCTGGAAAAGCACAGCAGGTCAGACAGCATTCAAGGAGCAGGAAAGTCAACGTTTCGGGCTGAAACTGGATGCTGTCTGAGCTGCCGTACTTTTACAGCCTCACACCTATAGGCTATGGCTTCCAGCATCTGCGGTCCTTATTGTCTCCTTATCAGGATATGAAGTTACTTAGAAGGTTACATAATAATTTATAACAATGTGGGTTGGAATGTTAAGTGGATTGTCTGAGGGTGAACAGTGAATGTGTGGTAAGTGGACAGCCAGCAGCACGTGGTATGCAGGCACAAGCCGTAAGGCTGGTGAATGGTGCTTATTGGCAGTTCTTCCTAAATCTATAATCTACCTTCACATCTGTTTTCAGACTTTGTTGGTATTGTACCGAGTGGCTGTGGCCTCTGGCAAAGCATTTTGTATTCCTTTCTTTCAGGAATAGTAGCCTGGAGTACCACAAAAAAATTACCCATGTAACCATTTCAAGCAGTGGCATTCCCGGTTCATCAACTGGGAAGGAGGGTGGGTTGGAGCTTAGAGTATTATGCTGTGCTGTGCAAACTCCCACTTTATTTGTTGTCTTCAAATTTAATTTTGCAGTTGGCTGTTTGTATCTCGTTGAAAATATTTTCCAGACCAAAGCTTCCACACATTCACAATCTCATTATTTGTTTATGTTTTACTTTCCATTGATATTTAATAGCTGTTGAAATTCTTTCTTCCAAACGCAGACTTTAATGAATCCCATAACTGCTCTATTCTTTAAATGGCCATAGCAGTAATCGACATTCTACTCTCTCCATGAACCTCCCATTGGGACAATGAAAATGCTTGTAAGGATTTTGGATACAAAGTGAGTTTGCAGCAGCTTTGGCAGATCTGTTAAGCACATATTAATGAATGAATGAATGAATGATTTATTGTCACATATATCTTGAAGATACAATGAAAAGTGTTTTGTTACCACAGTCCAGTGCCATTCCATGTTACAAAAAGAGTAAAAAGAAATTACTTAAATAAGCGTTCATCTTCTATTCAAGTTGGGGTCTCAAACACATCTTCAGGGTTTCTGCAAGGTCTCTGCAAGATGTTTTGGGCCTCAAAAATGCCAGGTATTCAGTATTTACTCTGTAAGAGTGTAAATCATAAACCCGAGACTCACCAAATATTTTCACTCAGCTTTCTAAAGCCACATTAAATGCTTGTCTTTTAATTCCAACAAATCCTTCGTCCAAATGTGAGTGTTTGTTTCCATGGCACTGCTAACACGAATATGTCTGCTTGTTCCCCTCAATCTCCAGTACAATTGTTCTGATTTATCAAGGGGAAATTCATGCATCTGATGAGAATGTGGCAACTTTCTCAGTAGGCAGCAGCAAGTTGCCTGATAATAGGGGATATAGCTTCATAAATACCTCGTTAACTGCATATCTCACCTTATTAGTATGTTGCTACCTATTTTACCAAACAAACTGAAAACTAGACATTGGGAGTTCTTGACAGGGAAGTGAGACTTGGCTAGCTGTGAACAACCTTCATGAGCAAACACCCAACAGCACCTCAGGGCATGATCCATAGGCACCAGCCACGTGCACCCCTCATTCATAGACATTGACATCCAATATTAGCCAACACTTCAGGATCATCAGTTCATCTCTCCGATACACTTGAAAGATACTTAGGAAGCACTGATCTGTACTGCAGGGTGCATTTGTAACTAGCATTGAAAGCCTGCTGCAAGGACACTTCACACACATGGAAAGCCACCCAGCTCAGGGATCGGACCTGGCTACATCTCAGGGGTGTGTGCTCTCTTGATCTCTTCATGCTCATTCACTTAGTACCTACCTGCACGCTCACAACATGCCTTCCCTGCCCTGCCTTACCAATTAGCACAGTCACACAACCCTTAGCTTGCCTTGCTGCTCGGCAGCCCTCAGTCGAGAGGCCCTATCTCTTGCTGGGCAGCAGTGTGTTATGTCAGTCTCACAGCAGCACCATGTACCAGCAGCTTACACAGTAAACACACAGTGTGGGCAGCAAGTGGGGCAGCCAGGTCTCAAAGTCTTAAGGGAGGTGCCCTCACTGAAGTCAATGGGGACACATCAGTCAGTGGTTCCTGGTACAGCAAGTCAAGGACAACCTTCCACACCAGTCCAGGGGATTGAGTACAGTCGGGTTTCCGGTCAGGGTGATCTCGGTCAGGGGGCCAATGCCCCTGTAGTCCAGGGAGTGGTTCACAGTCAGTCCTGTACCTCCATGGTGGGTAGTGCAGTAGGGGGACGGGGTGTAGGACTAAGATGGTGTGGGAGATGTACTGCAAACAAACGGGAGAGGCAGGGCACTTCTGGTCCAGGGCTGTATGGTTTCGGTCACTCAAGAAGGTAGGCCTCATCCAGTCTGGCAGGTTTGTCGGGAGAAACTTACAGGTAACCAGAGACTTGGTGGAGGTTAGTCAAGAGGGGCTGCTGCCATGGGAAGAGCTTTGGGAATCTATTCATTGGGATTTGGGGAATGTGGTTTGGAAGGAAGCAGGGCAACTGTATTTGTAAGGGCAGCATCCAATAAACTATGGACAGGAACAGGCAGAAGGAGTTTCATCTATGGTCAGGATCGCCCTGGCTGTAAGGGAGGTAAAGTATATGAGCACACCTGACATGGTCACCTCATAAGGCAGGGCTGGGGTAAAGGTGGGCAGGTGGAGTCACCTGGGTGGGGTCTTGGGGGGCTGTGAAACCTGTGGAATCATGGCAAGGGCTATTTGGAAGCAGATTTTGATCCTCAGAACATACTGACATGTAGTGGAGGAGGCTGGAAGCCACCAGCTGAGGAGCGCTCGCTACTGTCTTTCATCATGCTGGAAATCAAATGTACAGAATGGGGAAAAAAATTGGATGCAACCACACCCAGAGTATGCATGGTAAGTGACTCAACTTGTGAGGGAGGGGGCAGCAGGACCCACCAATGTGAGGCTCTTTAAAGGAAAACAACACTTTACACAGATCAGTGCTCTGTGGCGTTCCTAATCCCTGGCAATTCTAATACATTGGCTTCCTATTTGCTGTCCATCTCGCAACCCCAGACATTGCTGACCACTACATTTACACCAATACTACTACACATAGAGTCCAGGGAGAGAATAGGGAGGTCTGACTAAGAGGAACAATGGTACCAGCTGAACCCATTGGTCTGTAAATACCTTGTTCCTCTTGTTTCCACCGGCTGCAGTAGCTTCTCAATACCATGGATCCATGGTATATCCCATGCAGACATGAAGCTAGGCATCATGTTCACAGTTACAGTCTGGGCTACTCAAAGACTCAAAACAACAAATGTAGTTATGCAAATATGGTGAGTTATCATTCGTGCCACCAAAGTCCTTTGAAAAGGTTTTTTTTTCTTTCTTTCCTGGTCACTACAACCTAGTGTAGTACCTGGCTCTGCAGTTGGGATGGAGGAAGCTCTCTCGGCAATGGACCCCATTGACCTTAAAGGTTTGGTCAGGCGAATTGCAGAGGGTCTCCCCTTGTCAGAGGCAGGTAAACCTGCTTTGTGTTGAGCATCCAAGGGTCAAAGGGGGGCAGACACGGTGTAGGTGGAGGGCCTGGCCACCTACGGAGAGTCCTGTTAGAAGGTTTTTAAGAAGCCTGTATGTAGCTCCTCTTCTGATTGGTTCACCCTATCTCCTTGACGGAAAGGCATCCGGGGTGCTCACATGCTCCCTGTCCCCCTATTGCCCTGTCTTCAGTCCTGAGGACCAATGTCTGGAGCAATGGAGTATAGGTGTTTGCATCTCTCATGTAATCCCTCAGGATGCTCGACTTGGCTCTCCATGGCACTGTCAACCTGTCTATGAAGGCAGCCAGGCAATCACATGACTCACTGCACTGCTGCAGCTTCTGGGCAATAAGGACCATTGTGTCTCATAACCCTCCCTCCTTCCTTCATTTATAGGAATTGACTGTAACTGGCTGTGCCAGCATTTATGGCCCATCCCTAATTGCCTAGAGGGTAGTTAAGAGTCAACCTCATTGGTATGGGTCTGGAGTCAGATCTAGACTAGGCAGCAGTTTCCCTCCCTAAAGGGCATTGGTAGTCCAGCTGTGTTTTTAGGACAATTGACAATGGTTCCATGGTCATCATTTGATTTTTAATTTTTATTGAATTCTAATTCTACCTTCTGCTCTGGCAGGTTTTGAAGCTGGGTCCCCAGAACATCACTGGGTCTCCAGATCAAGATCTAGTGATAATGCTACCAAACCATCACCTCTCCCACTGTTCCTGGTCTTCCCTGTGCATATAGACAAAATCCCTGATTATCCATACCTCTCTGGCCTGGGGCTGAGCAGGAGCCTGGTCCCTAGCATGCCTCCAAGTGCCAGCACCCTGAGGCATTTCTCTCTCTGCCAGGCGCAGAGCTGTCACACCAAGGTGCCCACCAGAATGTGGTGTCATGCTTTGTAAGCCTGATATTTCTATTGAGGTGTCTGTGGCTAGAGTGTTGGAGAATGTAGGAGGCAGCCTTGTCAATGCTTCCTCCGAGGTCTCGGTATTCTCTTCCTCAGAAGTACAGGAGGTGGCTTGGCAAGGTCATGAACATCCCACTGGTACCTGCAAGACGCCAAGAGAGAGAGAAGGCATCACTGCCTGTTGTTAGAAATAGTGGACAGTGAATAACACTAACAGTGGGGTTACTGGGAGAGATGGAGCAGAACAAAGACTGGTACTTACTCAGTTGGTGGGACACGATGTCTCTGCATCCCTGCAGGAGCAGTCCCAGTCTTTTCCTGCCAGGGCCAGGATTCTCTCCTTGTAGGGAGTTAGAAGCCTTATGTTGGGCACCCCATCACGTGCCTGGACCAGTTCTGCCCTGTTGTGGAATGTCTGCTCCTGGAATGACAGAAATGGAAGTGGTGAAAATTAGAGCTTGTGCAGATGCTGAGGTTTCCTGGGTGACTGAGCAGATTGCACAGAGGCCATGTTAGTGATGTGGGAGTTTATCAGGGAATAAGAGCAAGTGAGGGAAGATATTGTAGGTAATAGTGATGGTGACAGAGAATAAGCTCTGGTGGGAGGAGTGTACAGAGGCAAAGGTAAAGTTAATGTGAGATAGAAAAGAGAAGAGCAAGGCACTCAGCTTGGCAGGACAGAGAAGGTCATTGTGAGACTGTTTACCATTCCTCTGGACCTCTGTAGAAATTGCAGTGACCCAGGTGGTCCTCTTGGACCAGACTGACAGGGTCTGGTGTCATGGCTTCATTCACCAGCCCTCTGCTGCCCCACCCACTCCATCAGGAACTTCATATCCCTTTGGCGAGTCCTGGAGCCATCTTCCCTTCTCCAACATGTTCCAACTGAATATCCATCACTGAGCAGGACAGTTTAGGAATGCCAGTGCTCATCCAGGTGTTCAGCAGCTTTTTAAAAATGGGGCAGGCACCTGGGCTACCTTTCAGTGGATATATGCTGAGCAATGAGTTGTTCTTGGAACAATGTCTGGTAAGGTGGGCCTAGAATCACGCAAGACGAAACCCATAGCAATGGTAAGTGATTTCACTAGGCCTCATGGTGAAAAACCCAAGCAAAAAACTTGACACAACTAACACTTAGCAAAGAAATGCAGTATTCAGCCCATTGTATATAACAGGGCTTAGTAAAGGTATTAACTTCATCTAAGGTGATTTTCTTCAAACTTTGAATAATTTTCTCTCATCAATACTCAAAATTTACCACACACATTTCAGATGGTCAGTCAGGAAGAGTTACCTACATTACCACTGGAATAATGGATTCCTGTACCATAGGGATGTAGCTGGTGTACTCACTGGCCTGGGGAGCCAAGAAATCAAGTTGCCGATGAGGAGTCAAAGGTGCATGCTCTTTTCAACACATTGAAGTTCTCCCATCAGCTTCTGAGTCAGAAAGTCATGCATTCGGGAAATCAGAACAAAAACAGGAAATACTCAACAGATCGGATTTCCCTGTAGAGAGAGAAACAGAGCTAACATGACCTTTCACAACTCCGAAGACTTTTGTACATAGTCTAGGCTGAAGATTGTACAGTAATGAAGGAGTCTGCACTGTCAAAGGTGCCATCTTTCAAGTAAGATCTTAACCTGAGATAATTTTGCTATGGGAGTCATTTCAAAGGTAGTCAGTCCCTAAGTTACATATTCAAGGAGCCAAACACCTGATATGGTAGCAGTCTGGAATCCCTAAAAGTGATGGCAACAAATTTAGCACAGCCCATCCTACTCCAAACCCTGCTATTTTGTGCTGGTATTGCACATCAGCATGACACATACTAATTTCTACTTCATTGGATCTGCCACTTTTAACCCATTTCTCCAAATTACTAACATTTCTTTAAACCTTTTTAGCTTTTCTAAAGAGTTACCTATTCCACCCATTTTAGTATCGTTTGGAAATTTCAATCCTATACCCAAATGACAGTCATACACAGTGAACAGAATCATCATCATCTACAATTTTCAATGATAACATGAATAAAAGGGTCAATTCAGCCACGTCACGTCTTTTAGTTATTCATTGGGCATGGGTGTTACTGGCTAGTCTAGTATTTATTGCCCATCCCTAATTGCCCAAAGGGCAGTTAAGAGTCAACCACGTTGCACTGGATCTGGAGTCACATGTAGACCAAACCAGGTAAAGACAACAGGTTTTGTTCTCTAAAGGCTATGAATAAATCAGGTGGGTTTTTATGACAATGGTTACACGATCACAATTACGTTAACTACTTTAATTCCAGATTTTGATTGAATTTTACCATGGTGAGATTCAAACCCACATCCCCAGAATAGCAGCCCAGGGTTCTGGATTACTAGTCCAGTGACGTTATCCCTATACCACCATTTCACCCAGCAGCTTCCAATAGACAGCCTCCCCGAACTCAAATATGATCTCAACATCAGGATTTATGGTGTGGCTCTGTATCAATCCCAGCTCCTTTAGGATGAGTCTCAGCCTTAGAGCACAAGATCATTGAATTCAGCTTGGTAGAGCAAAGTGTGCAGAAGACACTGAAAGTCTGCAGAGGGATATAGATAGTCTAAGTGAGTGGGCAAAGGTCTGGCAGATGGAGTACAATGTTAATAAGTGTGAGGTCCTCCATTTTGGTAGGAATAACAGCAAAACGGACTATGTTTCAAATGGTAAAAAATCGCAGCACGCTGCTGTGCAGAGGGACTTGGGTGTCCTTGTGTATGAATCGCTAAAAGTAGGATTGCAGGTGCAGCAGGTAATTAAAAAGGCAAATGGAATTTTGTCTGCCATTGCTAGAGGGATGGAGTTTAAAAACAGGGAGGCTATGCTGCAGCTGTATAGGGTCCTGGTGAGGCCATACCTGGAGCACTGTGTGCAGTTTTGGTCTCCTTACTTGAGAAGGGATATACTAGCACTGGAGGGGGTGCAGAGGAGATTCACTCGGTTGATTCCAGAGTTGAGAGGGTTGGATTATGAGGAGAGAATGAGTAAACTGGGATTATACTCATTGGAATTCAGAAGAATGAGGAGAGATCTTATAGAAACATATAACATTATGAAGGGAATAGATTAGGTGGAGGCAGGGAGGTTGTTTCCGCTAGCAGGTGAAACTAGGACTAGAGGGCATCGCCTCAAAATAAAGGGAAGCAGATGTAGGACTGAGGTCAGGAGGAACTTCTTCACCCAAAGGGTTGTGAATCTGTGGAATTCCCTGCCCAGTGAAGCGATTGAAGCTACCTCACTGAATGTTTTTAAGGCAAGGCTAGATAAAATTTTGAACAGTAAAGGAATTAAGGGTTTGGTGAGTGGGTGGGTAAGTGGAGCTGAGTCTCAAAAAGATCAGCCATGATCTTATTAAATGGCGGGGCAGGCTCGAGGGGCCAGATGGCCTACTCCTGCTCCTAGTTCTTATGTTCTTATTACAATATGTTCAAGCACAACAGCCTGCTTAAGGAATTGTCATGTTGACCCTTTATATCCTGCCTAAAACAATAATTCCATGATTCCAAGATCCTTTTTACGTCAGTGACCCTTATAATGGAAAATAGAGAAAAAAACACCTTATCCTTCTCTGGCAGACCCTTGGCTCTTTATTTGCAGCAACTATACTCACAGTTAACTATTTTGTAACTTTAACCCTTTTGACTCTGTACAAATGTTGTTTGTACAATACTTAAGACTTTTGTGATAGGTCTGTGATTTGAAATGTGCATAGTTTGCATATATACACTTAATATATATGCATATTGACTAACTTATTTAAATGGGTTAAGGTACAAAATAATATTACACCTACCAGAAAGAGTAGCCCCGCCCTCCTTTTAACAAAATGTTAATAGAAAATTAATGCATGAAAGTTGATCTTAATTCTACAGGAGCTAGGATAGATACAGGGCCATGATATAAATCAGATTCAGTTCCATATTGCTGTCTAGCAAGGCATGCAGTATAATGTACTAATAAGGCTATGTTTGCTCAATCTAATATTAAGCATTAAATCTCCAAAGCAGTTTGTTTTTAAAGTGAAAAAGTAATACTCCATGCTTGACTGTGAAAGAGGGCATCATCACAATAGATGTTGTCCCCAGCATTGACAATAATTTTCTTGAAGAGTAAAATCAGGAATCTTAATTTTGGAAGCTGAAAATCATCTGTCAGTGCTTTGGGAAATTAGCCACTTCATTGCCATCTAATTAGACTCCTCATATTGTTGAGTTCATTGTTATCATTTTTCAAGCTTCCTAAGGCGTGCACTGTATTTCCTAAAATTCTGAAGAAGGGTCACTGGACCCGAAACGTTAACTCTGCTTTCTCTCCACAGATGCTGTTGGACCTGCTGAGTTTCTATTTTTGTTTCTGATTTCCAGCAACTGCAGTTCTTTAGTTTGTTTTGTTCACAGTATTTTCTGATGTTTAAGAGTGCATTTTGATATTTTACAATGACTGCAGTTAGGTTCTGCTCCCCCCAGCTGCAGGATGAAACAGTGAGGGTGACAGGAGATTCCTGAGGCCTGGTGGCAAAGAGCAGGAGTGGTGAAGCGGAGCACTCTTTCACCTCATTGGAAAAACCGTTAGACCTAATGAGGTCAAACAATGTTCCAGTTTGCTGGTAGGTACTATTTTTGAAAAAAAGTTTTAAAGCAGTTTTTGTTTACTACTTCAAAATTGTAAACACTTCCAATTACAGGTCTGGTTTTAAGTGTTTCTAAGTGTTTACCGGTGGTTTCTAGTGTTTACCAGTGGTTTCCACTATTTACAAGTTCTCATAGGTGTTTACTAGGGCTTTCAAAGTTGCTTTCATTCAACTTTTAATTCTAGACTCAGCAACCCTGGCCCACTCCCTTCACTAGCCCCTTCCAGTTGTCCATGGTTCAGCTCACAACCAATTTCCCCCTTTGGCTTGTGTCTGGTATCAGAGAACTGAGGAGCTGGAGGTGTAGGAGAGGAGGGGGTGGGAGGGGATGTTGAGGGAACAAGGAGGTGTGAGCACTGAGCAGGGCTGGGAGTGCAGGAGTGGAGTGCAGCAAAGCTGAGGGTGTCAGGGGCACAGGAATGGGGGTGCAGCAAATGGTGCCAGAGGAACTGTGGGTGCAAGATTGTTCAGAGATCTTTACTAATTTAAAGGGGTGCACTACTGAACAGGCTTTACAGCTGCTCAGAGTAGCCCTAAATAAATCAGCATAAGCAATATCGTAAATATCAGGTAAACAACCCAGTCAATACAGCAACAAAAACTGAAGCTGCTGGAAAAGCTCAGCAGGTCTGGCAGCATCTGTGAAGAAAATAATCAAAGTTAACGTTTTGGGTCCGGTGACCCTTCCTCAGAACTGATGGTAGCTGGGAAAATGTAGGGTGGTAGGGAGTAAGTGATAGGATAAAAGATAGAGCCCTAAGAGAGAGAACAGTTGAATAGACAAAGGAATTGATAACTATCAGGCTGGGAGGGTGAATAGCTGTTAATGGCGACTGTTAGTGACTAACAATAGGTAGTATGTAATGGCAGGCTATGTGACAACAAGGCCTGGTTTGTGGGGTAGGGGGCTGGGACATAGGAGAGTTTAGGCCCTATGAAGGGTCTAGGCCTGAAACGTCAGCCTTTCTGCTCCTATGATGCTGCTTGGCCTGCTGTGTTCATCCAGCCCCGCACCTTGTTGTCTCGAACTCGATATTGAGTCTGGAGGGCTGAAGGGTCCCCACGCGGAAAATGAGGTGTTGTTCTTCCAGTTTGCATTGAGCTTCACTGGAACACTGCAGCAAGCCAGAGACAGAGATGTTGGCCAGGGAACAGGGTGGTGTGTTAAATTGGCAGACAACAGGTAGCTCAGGGTCTTTTCTGTGAGCAGAACGTAGATGTTTTGTGAAGCTGCCACCCAGTCTACGCTTCGTTTCCCCAGTGTAGAGAAGACCACTTTGTGAGCAGCGAATGCAGTAGACTAGATTCTGGGAAGTGCAGGTGAAGTGTTGTTTTACCTGGAAGGTATGTTTGCGGAGTAAGGAGGTAAATAGGCAGGTGTTGCACTTTTGGTTGCAGGGGAAGGGGCCGTGGGGCTGTGGGGGTGGGGCTGGGATGGGGTGGGGTGAAGGTAGAGTAGACCAGAGTGTCCCAGAGGGAACAGTCCCTGTGGAAGGTGGACAAGGGAGGGGAGGGGAATATGTGTAATGTGGTGGCATCTTGCTGGAGGAGGCAGAAATGGCATCTGATGATCTTCTGGATGTGGATGCTGGTGGGATGATAGGTAAGGACAAGGGGAACCCTATCGCTATTGCAGGATGGAAGAGAGGGGGTGAGGGTGGAAGTGCAGGAGATGGTTAGACCCGGTTGAGGACCTTGTCGACAACGGTGCTGGGGAATCCTCGGTTGAGGAAGAAGGTGGACATTTCGGAAGCTCTCTTGTCGAGGTTGGCCTCATCTGAACATATGCAACAGAGACGGAGGAACTGAGAGAATGGGATGGAGTCTTTACAGGAAACAAGGTGAGAGGATGTATTGTCCAGGTACCTGTGGGAGTCAGCGGGTTTATAGTGGATATTAGTGGCCAGTCTATCCCCAGAAATGGAAACAGAGATGGTGATGAAGGGAAGGGAGGAGGCAGAGATGGAAGTGAGGGCAGGGTGGAAATTGGAAGCAAAATCGATGAACTCTTCCAATTCTGGATGAGAGAGGGAAGCAGCATCGATTATATCATCAATATATCAGAGAAAGCGTTATGGGTGGGTGCTTCAATAGGTCTGGAAGACCTAGGACCAGTCAATACAGTGTGGAGCTGGAGGAACACAACAGGTCAGGCTGTATCAGAGGAACAAGAAAGTCAACATTTTGGGTTTCCTGACCTGCTGTGTTCCTCCAGTTCCACACTTTTTTGACTCTGATTTCAGCATCTGCAGTTTTGTTAGCTCCCAGTAAACAACCCAGGTTTATGTACTGACGGGTCTTGGGGGGACCTACAGCCTGGCCTTCCACAATTCCCTTCAGGAACACCACAATTTCCAGATCCCAGTTTAAGTGAGATCCCTGGAATGTGCAATGCTATTACAGCCCCCAATAGCAGCAAATCGCTCAATGCACTCTCCATCATGAATTTGCATTTGGAATTCTTTCTTCCTTACACTGTGTATTTGTATGAAAAGCACTTATTTGGGCCACACATCATAATCTGTGTTTCAACACAATCCATTACAGTTGTCACTATCTCCCATTACTCACTTGCTTCTTTTTTCTCTATGCAGACTGAATGAATTTACATCTTTTAGTTTTTTTTCTTTTTTTGAGGTGTCTGAAGCACAATCTGTTACTCTACTCTCTTCAGTTTCGTTTTGTTTTAAAATTATTGTTTACACTATCTTTTCCAGCTGAGCTCTCCCTCTCACCTTTGCAGCCTTTCACCAGTTTAAGGTATTTGTGATTGCCCTACTGATCCATTCCATTTGCTCCCTTGTCCTAGCCTAGTTTGGATGGAGCCTGTTCCACAGGACAGTGGCTTCCTGTGACAAGATTCTGCAGCATTAGATTGTTTAAAATTTTGCTTTGAAGGGTACAGTCTATTTTTCTGATGACAGTTCAATCTCTGATTGAATGCTGTATTGTGCTTTAACTATCCACACCATCTGTGGAATGTTCTGCATTAAATGGAGCTTTCAATGTAAATTAACATTTTTCTAGACTGTGTATCCATGCTATTTGGACAGCTCATTCTAGAGTTAGATCCTCAATTGATTGAAGTATTTCAGAGACTGATTTACTTAAGAGACCACTGACATGTCTAAAGTAAATGAATTCTGGAAGCAAATGTAAATGTAAATGTCTATAGTTCCATGGTTCAGATAGCAGATAAAGATTGTGAATGCATCTACGTACAGATGCTCCTGCAGTTGGTATCTGCTATCAAATCATGATCTCATTAGCTGGTCTTTTTTTCTTGAAGAGAAATATTGAACAGAATCTGTAAGAAGAGTGTCAAGTACAATTTACTTCTCATCAGGCTGTTGTCTATGTAATACATGATCTGACTGATGCTCTTCCCATAGCGCAGTAGTGTGCTAACTTGATTTGCATTTGATTAAATGTCCAATACTGAACTGTTCAAAATCTTAGGAATTGTGCTTTCCACATACGCCAATTTGTTGATCCATCAAATGGATCAATTGGTTGAATATCCCTAGTGGAAAACTCAGTACAAGTGAACTTTTTTGTATTAGTTGATTGTTGATGGACACTTGAAGCTGTTAGTTATTTTCTAGACCTGGAGGATGATTGTTAGAATTTTTATCTCCTTCTACTACATTCATTTTGCTGTCTTCTTAGTTCTTGTTGATTGGCAAAACCATGCAGACGCCATGACAACAGGTGAATGGACACTGCGCAACAATTGCCAGACAGAAATGTTCCCTCCCAGTGGGGGAACACCTCAGCGGTCAAGGACATTCAGCCTCGGATCTTCAGGTAAATGTCCTCCAAGGCAGACTTCGGGATACACAACAACAGAGTCACCAAGCAGAGGTTGATAGCCAGGTTCGCTACCCATGTGAACAACCTCGAACGGGATCTTGGGTTCATAAGAACATAAGAACTAGGAGCAGGAGTAGGCCATCTGGCCCCTTGAGACTGCCCCACCATTTAATAAGATCATGGCTGATCTTTTTGAGACTCAGCTCCACTTACCCGCCCACTCACCATAACCCTTAATTCCTTTACTGTTCAAAAATTTATCTAGCCTTGCCTTAAAAACATTCAGCGAGGTAGCTTCAACCATTTCACTGGGCAGGGAATTCCACAGATTCACAACGCTTTGGGTGAAGAAGTTCCTCCTGACCTCAGTCCTATATCTGCTTTCCTTTATTTTGAGGCGATGCCCTCTAGTCCTAGATTCACCTGCTAGTGGAAACAACCTCCCCGCCTCCACCTTATCTATTCCCTTCATAATCTTATATGTTTCTATAAGATCTCTCCTCATTCTTCTGAATTCCAATGAGTATAATCCCAGTTTACTCAGTCTCTCCTCATAATCCAACCCTCTCAACTCTGGAATCAACCGAGTGAATCTCCTCTGCACCCCCTCCAGTGCTAGTAGATCTCTTCTCAAGTCAGGAGACCAAAACTGCATACAGCACTCCAGGTGTGGCCTCACCAGGACCCTATATAGCTGCAGCATAGCCTCCCTGTTTTTAAACTCCATCCCTCTAGCAATGGCAGACAAAATTCCATTTGCCTTTTTAATTACCTGCTGCACCTGCAATCCTACTTTTAGCGATTCATACACAAGGACACCCAAGTCCCTCTGCACAGCAGCGTGCTGCGATTTTTTACCATTTGAAACATAGTCCGTTTTGCTGTTATTCCTACCAAGATCTTATCAACATTGTACTCCATCTGCCAGACCTTTGCCCACTCACTTAGACTATCTATATCCCTCTCCAGACTTTCAGTGTCTTCTGCACACTTTGCTCAACCACTCACCTTAGTGTCATCTGCAAATTTTGACACACCACACTTAGTCCCCAACTCCAAATCATCTATGTAAATTGTAAACAATTGCGATCCCAACACTGATCCCTGAGGCATACCACTAGCCACTGACTGCCAACCAGAAAAACACCCATTTACTC